TTATTCCATCTGCAAATAAAAGGACAGGCGATTTCACTTATTTTGGGTGTTTCTCTAGACTGATTTTTTCTACCTGAAGTGGAAGCGTTTGTTCCAAATTTAAAGCCGCAGGGTTTTTGTTGTCGCATTGTGGTGTCTTGACACAGTTTTTTACCAAACGTGTGACTAAAATGATGAAGTTTTGAAAGGATTGTCCCCAAATTGGGGAAAACCCTTGTGTGTGGCAATAAAAACCTCCATTTTCTATACCAACAAATGGTGGTTAATCGACATGAATTGAAGCACTTCGAATGAAGTTTTAGCTCTGTCCCCGTCCACAGATTGTATTAGTGATATCCATCGAGTAGAGATGTAAGAAAAGAAAATCATTATCTTTCCTTTAAAGTAATTGTGTGCGTTGATGCGTGTGTGCGTTTGTGTGTGGGGTTTTCTACATGCCTAAGAAAGTTTCCTCCCTCCTTATTTCCCAACAGAAACGGATGATTTCCTTAAGCACTTTTGTGGAGGAGGATGGGAATTTCGGGCAATAGGATACTGTGCTATGTCAGATGCAACTTTAAATATTTATGCTCGTAATATCATCCAAATAGAGCAGTGGTAACAAAAAGAAAGTGGAAAAGCAAAGCAGATTTGGTATTGAAATTCTCCACTATGTTATCGCGGCAAACATCGGAGTTATTTCTGGGAATTCGCAAAATAGTACGATATTTAGATATTAATCTTGTTTTGTTTCTCATCAGTTTCCCCATGCTCGAAATGGTGGGCATCAGATTTAATGACGCGTGTAGTTCCAAAATTGTACATTTGATGTTTGTTATGTTTCGGTCGCACCTCAACTCCACCGTCGCTACTAGCACCGGAACCCATTACTTTATCTGACATTTTACAATACACTCAGCTCCTCTGAGAGAAAAAAGAAATGAAGTGGATTAGAATTGATCTAAAGAAAGAACTACAATAACTCAAAGTGAGATCAATGACATTAGTCTACTGTTGTATGCCTTTTCGTTTTCCGGTTTTAGATCGCTAGATCGGGAAGAA